CACCTCTCCTCCCTTTCTTGCCCCCCTCCATTGTCTCTTCTGCCCTTTCTTTGTCTTATTGGTGTGGGTTCCCCAAGGGAAATGAATAAGTTGGTATCAGTTTTTAAAACCTTGAGTTGTAATTATTTCTTATGCTGCACCCTTAAGGACATTAAACATTCATACATATATATATATGTGTGTCCGTATATATAATATATAATATATCCTTATAATTATGCACATACATGCTTATATATAAATGTGTATCTGTATCTTCATACTTCATATAGTAATGATGATATCTTCACTACTTTATATTTTCATAGTAGACTGTCAGCTCTATAACAAGAAAATGTCCTCCTTGTAGGAGTCTAAATGTAACACAAGGTTCCTTCCAACAGCAGGCCATGAGCAAGGGGAAGGCACACACATGGCAATGGGAAACTCGATCCAGCACTGCCATTTGGTTGAGAGTTCTCTTCAGTTTTCTGTACTGTTTAACTTTGTTTCAAATGAAGAAATCTGTGTTCCACCCATGCTTGAGACCGAGCCAAGCTGCATGACTTCACACTGCCTTTAGGACAGCATTGGATTGCATAACTGCTGAGCTTGTTTGCTCCCAACATCCTGAGATGGAGGATCTGCTATATGATTCAGAATGGAGCATTGGGCCTGTGGAGAGGTCCAACCATGGCTGGCTGGAGTTGGGGGACGTTAACCGAGTGACACATCTGTGTTCTTTCAGTTGAGCTGGCATCTGCAGCAGGGAAAGTCCTTCCTGAGGGAGAAAGCCTAGGAGCTTATATGGTCCTTTTCTTTACAGCTAGTTTTTTTTTTGTTGTTGTTTGTTTAATTATGTCTACTCTCTTTGGGTGGACCATTTCTCTAGTTCTGATCACACACAAAGCGTCCCTTAGTACATTCTGTTCCTTTTAGTAGGTCTCTACCCAATTACAGGAACATGCTCAACTCTCCTCCAAACAGCCATTACTTGCTGAAATTAAAAAAAAAAAGGAAAACAATTACAAAGCATTTCAGGGAAATAAAGGCTCACTCAGGGAGAAGCCTAAAACAATCTTTTAAAGATAAGGTTACTGGAAAACCTTTTCTTTGCAATCTCACATAAAGTTAGGTAGGAAAGCAGGTAGATGATAGATAGATAGATGATAGATAGATAGATAGATAGATAGATAGATAGATAGATAGATAGAAAGATAGATAGATAGGCAGACAGATAGAAAGATAGGTAAGTTTGGTGGATGATAAAGAGATGGTAGATAGATGATAGATAAATAGAGATAATAGGTACATGATAGATGATACATAGAACAAGATGATAGCTATATGACTGATATAGGTGACATGTTTAAAAAATGATTGATAATAAATTTATGTAGATATAGAGGATAGATACATAATAGATGATAAACAGATACCATGATCTAATATTTGTATGGATTACTCCAATTTCATAGCATCTAGTAAGCACAGTTTCAAAGGAAGTATGAAAATAGCATTTCCTCTGTTGCCTTTGACCTGAAATGTTAGTAAACTCAGGGTCTTATTTTCCTTCACCGTAGGATGGGACTGTGGAACCAAGGGAAACAATAGAGAATGGAGCAAGCAACTTTGGAAATGAGTAAAGAAAGAATGAGGTCTGAATTTTGCTACAAGTACAGTCACAGTCTTTGAGAGAAACAAAGGAATGAGTTGCTAAAGATGAGTTTTCCAGGATCTTTCAGGATACATTTCCTGCCTTCTCATGTCTGTGGGCACCTTGTAAGCCTCTAGCTTTAATTTTGTGAGTGAAATACATTAATTTCGGGTTAAGTGCCCCAGAGATAGAAAATCTGACTCCACCCCTTGAAGGTCCAATAGCTAGAGCCATGCTACATATCGTCTTTCCTGGAAAATCAACATTGACTCATGACCAGTGACTTAAACAAGTACAGTAAGGGTTCGGGTTTTTAGTTTTCCTTTAAGCAAGGTAGGAAAGATTGCTACCAGAACATTGATGTAGCCTTAAGGGTTGAAAGAATTTGGTTTAATAGTTCAATATGCCTAGGAAGAAGTCGAGCTGCCCCTCTCCATTGTTAGTAAGCAACCACCAATTCCATAGGGTCTTGGGCACTGAGGTTTCTGAAAGGTCCATATTTTCCTTCTGACCTTTGTCATTGAAGACTTGGTATTAGGCTGACTCCTAAAGTTTGACTGACCACAACCACACTTTCACAGGGTAGGTCCTAACATCGTTCAATCACATATTAATTACAAAAACAAAGGTTGATAATACAGTTCATGGGAATAATTCAGCCTTTGTTTCCAGACAGAGCTGCTTTCAAATTGTACAGCAGTGCTAGACGGGAGTGGTACACCTCACTGGAGGATGAGACAGTCTGGGATACAGAGTGAGATTCCATCTTACAGACCAGAAGAAACGGAAAAATGAAAAACAAAATCTACACCAGAGCTGTCTCATAGAATAGAACTCAACTCAAAAGACAAAAAAATAATTTTTTTAGTAAATAATTTTAAAGAAAACCAGGTGACATTAATTTTAACCATGTGCTTTATTTAAACTCATGAATATCTAAGAATATTTAGAATATAATAGGTATAAAAATGATTATATTGAGAAAGTTTAAGTTTTGCACGTGTTTGTACCTAAGTCTTTAAATTTTTAGTGGGTATTGTATACCTGTAGCCCATCTCAAGTCAGATTGGCTATGTTTTAATTTCCCAGGTACCACATGTAACTTGTGTATTGGATGAAACCATTCTAGACCCTCCACTTGCAAACTGTATGGCTGTGGGGGAGTGGTCAACCCACTGTGAGTTCCCACTTACCCTCCTATAACATGGTGCCATATAAAATATAGTTGGGGCTAGAGAGGCTTTTCAGTGGTTAAATAAGCATACTACCCTTGTAGAGGACCCAAATTCCCTTGGAACTTCAGTTCCGAGAGGCCCAACACCCTCTTTGGGCTTCTGCATGAGTTTTACTCATATGTATACACACACACACACACACACACACACACACACACACACACAACTAAAAGTAAAATGAGTCTTCAAAAAATACATCTACACAAAAGGTTAAATGTGAGAGCAAATCAGCTGAGAGCAGGGTCTAGTACCAGACCACAGTTACTATTGCCATGCAACGAAGTTCATTCAACGACCTGCTTTTCAATAATTTGGGGCCTGTCGTGTCATCAAAAGGCTAGTCCACAGAACGATGAAACATCCCCAGAGATGACTGATGGCTTGATCCATTTGAGAGATATGGGTCTGGAGAATTTCATACATTTGAGTATAAATTGAGGTGGAGATGTGTGGTCCCAAACTACAGCCTGGAAATGAAGAGTTCGTTACTGAAAGGACTGCCATGGCCCAACACAGAACAGGCATAAGAATATCAAAATGGATGCTCAATGATGAGTCGGAACAGAGCTCAGGATTTCCCCTCATGGTTATTCACAACAAGTAGGCAGACATACAAGTCAGGTATTCTCCTCTTTGCTGCAGGGTAAAGAAACATCTGGGAGTGTTTGGTCAGTGGACAGGGTGCCCTACTTTCAGTCCCCAGCACTACCACCAGAGAGGAAGAAAGGAGGGAAGAGAGGGAGGGAAGGAGGGAGGGAGGGAGAGAAAAGGAGAGAGAAAGAAAAAGATAGGAGGGAAGGAGGGAGGGAGGAAAGAAAGAAGGAAGGAAGGAGGGAGGGAGAGAAAAGGAGAAAGAGAGAAAGAAAAAGATAGGAGGGAAGGAGGGAGGGAGGAAAGAAAGAAGGAAGGA